CGTTCGACCCCCATCGGGGTCGCGACCCACAGGTTGAGAACCACTGATTTAAGGAAAACAACAGGATGCACAATCTCTACCTAGTTTATGACATGAACAGAAGAAACAGAAAATGTAGAAAAGCAGAGACCAAAATTTTCTGAGTAAACATCTCAGCTGATGCTTTCCAAATGTTTAGTCTTCAGCACCCATCATTCCCAGCTAGTAGCTTGGAATGATGGAAATTACAGCTTCAACACATCTAGAGAGCATAAGGCTGGAGAAGGTTGCTGTACGGTATTTCCTACAGCAAAGGAGGGAAACCTCAAGGTCTGGGATCAATTTCTGGTCTCCTTGGGTTCCATTTAGGCCTTCTGAGTTTCAGCCTCATTCCATGACGCCATTGTATGGTGGCTTTTCTGATCTTGTATAGTTTAAACCAGGGGTAGGCAACCTTTCCCCTTTAAGGGCCGAGGGACTTCAGCTCCCAGAAGCCTCAGCCATGTTGGCCAATAGCCCCATGTTGGCCAATAGCTCCTGGGATTCTGGGAGCTGAAGTCCTTCGGCCCTTAAAGGGGAAAGGTTGCCTACCCCTGGTTTAAACCCCTCCCCATTCTAAGATGCTGAAATGGTTCCCTAAAAGCTCAGTTAATAAGAGCAAGAGATTAAAAGTAAAAATTTTGGTTGAGCCCATGCACCAACAGAATGTAGCCTCCTCCAAAAAAAACCCCTCTGAAACTGATTTTTTTGTGTTGAATCAAAGAAGTTCCCCAGTCCTAGTTCAGTGACAGAAGCCAGTACCAAAGAGGTAGGAAGTGGCATAGATACTGAAGGTGGAGTTGATATCAAAACAGTTGGAGGAGTTACAACCATTGATATTGGGGCAAACATCCATTCTAATGGCATCTTCTGTTTTCTTGGTTTCAACATGGTTGTAGAGGCCAAAAAAAGTGGTTGGCTCATATTTGCTGGTCCATGACCTGAAGCAACTGCTTCAAACAATGAAGCTTCAGTCTGGAAGTTCTACAGTTCTTCAGGGCTTGTGAAGTAAGGCCCTTGAAAATCGAGCACTTTTCCAAAGATGCCCCTCGCTGAGACTAAAAGGGAGACCTTCTGACAGCAACAGATGGGTCCAAGACACACTTCAAAAATAATCCAGTCTGAGACCGCTTTAACTGCCCTGGTTCAATGCTAGGGAATTCTAGGAGCTTTAGTTTTGTGAGACATTTACCTTTCTCTGTCAGAGAGTTCTGATGCCACAATAAACTACAATTCCCAGGATTTTGTATCACTGAGCTAGGGCAGTTAAAGGGGTCTCAGACTCAATTATTTCTGCAGTGTGTTTTGGACTTTACAGAGTTTAAAGAGAGAGATGGAAGCCATAGAATCAAAGGGGTGGAGGAGGGACGTGGCAAAGGGTTTGTTTGTTTGTGTGTGTGTTTGTGTGTGTGTACTGTGGTAGATATAAGAAAAAGAAACACACTTGTTCCCAATTTGTAATTCAAATACACATGCAGAAAATATATTTTCCTCTTTAAAAATTAAGACAGCCAAAAGGGCTGTTCCTATAGTACAGTGGTCCCGAAACATTTTTGGGCTACCACTCCCTTTCCTCTTAGGTGACAACCCCTAGCATATTTTTTGATATTAGGTCTACTGTTCTAATAACCAATCTAGGTTGCTGCTCCCTTTTCACCCAGCCATCTTGGGAACAGCAACCGAGCAGCTGGCTGAGCCACGAATGAGAAGCTTCTTGCTTGTTTTGGTCTTGCAGCAAAGGCCAACACAGGTGAGAGTCTTTTTGGTTGCTGTTTAACTGGCTGCTCAGACACTGCTCACTTTGTGTCCTGTCATCCTGGGAGCAGCAACTGAGCAGCTGGCTAAGCAGCGACTGAGAAGCCTCTCACCAGTGTCAGCCTTGCAGCAAAGGCAATGAGGACAAGAAGCCTCTTGGTTGCTGCTCAGGCAGCTGCTCAGTTGCTACTCCCATAGTGACCAGGTGCAAGGGAGAAAGTTCTCTTTAGAAAGGAGGGACTCTCAATCCTTCATCGGAGCAGGGGGTTTACAGAGGCCACATGTTCTGAACTGGAAACTGGTGTGGGCCAGGAGAGATTTTAACTACAGGAGCCACTCCAAGACAAAGGACTCTTTCCAAGAATCAAGCAGATAGTCCTTCCCCAGAAACAAACTGTTGTTGTTGTTTTATTTATACCTGTTCTTTAGAAAGGATCCCAAAGCGGAAGACATGTCTTCCTCACACAGCTTGAAGTGTCCACTCTCTCACAAAAAAAATTTCCTCTGCTACCTCTTCTCTCACTCTGTCTGATGAAAGAAAGCAGGAGCAGCAGTGCAACTCCAACCTGTCAACCAAGTCCCAGCAAAACTCACAAAGCTTAACCAGGGTCCCAAATGTCAAAGCTCCTTTTTGCTGCCACTTCTCCCCTGCCACCATGTGCTCTAATTCTTTGCTCTAGTCCAGGGGTCGGCAACCTACGGCCCGCGGGCCAGATCCGGCCC